CGAACATCTTCTTGAGAACATTCTGTTAAGTAGACCAACTGGAGTCAGTTCAAGTTTTGCTATGCGAAAACGCATTTAAATCCACAAAATGTTTTTGCCTTTAGCTGGAGAGAGATGGCTGCTGTGAAAATGATGTAGACTGTTATTTCAGTGCATGACTGGTAATCTTGGAAGCTTCCGTTTCACTTTTAATCCTTTTCTTTTATAGCGATATGATTATTCCGTTATCCTCTAGATGCTCCGAAGCTAACTTGACAAGGTTTTGAATTTGATTTTGTTGATTTTCTTTCAATTCATTTCCATAGTTTGAATATCTCCTCTAAATAGAACTTTTTTTCAATTTGAAAGTGATGGACTGGCTATGTCTGGCCACAGGAGAGTTCTATCAAGATTATCCCCGATTGGAATATCTTACAAAATACCCATTTGTGCCGCAGTTGGCGAAATTTGACGCAGTGATCAAATTTCCAATAGTAGTTCATTTACATTGGGATCGATTTTAAAAGAGATGTAAATTATTTGCTTTCCTCTTCGACCGGTAACTCGCCTCTGGTTCTCACAGCTTGCTTCGGTATACATTCAAAATCTAACGGAAAAATTACAAAGGTACCCGCTTAGGCAAAATCTTTCTTTGGTGAAAAAACTGAAGTATGAGTAAAGCAAAGATTGTTAGACTTCTGTTCACTGTTTCCTCTTGAGCTCCAATTATGAATTTATATTTGTATTTTGAATTCCACCTGTTCGGAAAGTGATTATATCTAGATTTAAACATGTACGCGCCATCTCATAAATCATGAGAAAAAAAATTATCTATGAAACTTATTTTCAATCTTTAAGTGGATATTTATCGGCTAATATAGGGGAATCTGTATAAAACCCTTTAAGGACACCTAAAGGGCAGGTTTTGAATTCGCTCGTTACTGATGAAGATGCTAGTAAAGGTTTTCATTAAATGACATTTGTTATGGGATACTTGGAAAAGCGGATCTCGAACTCATTTTGTGGATGCAGAATGCTTAAAGACGGCTTGGGTTTTTCTGGCCTGATAAGTGGCTATAGTTAAATTTTAATCAACCTGCTCAAAAGTGATGGTGTTCTTGTATTATCTTTAATTTACGGCGATCACAAACAATTTAGGGGCAAATTATCAATAACCCGGTGATATTATTCACAATATACAATCAAACTGATGTTATGAATATGAGATTATTTTGCATTCATAACAGTTTGCCAGAAAACAGAGGCTCAAGCTGTTAAACTAGACTTTCGTTTTTGTTTCGTTTTTTTTTAATTTAAACAATTACAACAGCCACTGAACAACTTCAAAATGCAAACTTTCCAGATGGTGATCCATTCCGAAGAACACCTCAAATGGCTGTGCTTTAATTTTCTCTTTAAAGGTAAGGAAGCTTTCTTTTCATCAGTTTTGATGTTAAATTAGGGAGGAATGGCTAGAAAACCGGATGTTATTTTACAACTAATGCTTTA